TCAAAGACTGTATCACTTGTTGTATAAGACTTCATAAATGTTTTTTTTTTCGTTTTCATAAGTACTAATTAAATTGCACTGTATAGATAAATTTCATTTTTGTTTTCAACTACATACAACATATGTACATAGAAATATATATATATATATATATATTACACACAACATGTGATGATGCCTAGTGAAATCAGTCATGTGATGTTCAATCTACTTATATATATATCCAGCTGTTTTCCATTCCTAACCTTATTCTTCCTTTCAGAGGAAAAGAAATATTCTGTTTAGTGTTATTCAGATGCCGGAGAAAACTGTATGCGTTTTTACGGTATCAACATGTCACCATAGCGAATAAACACAATATTCTAAAAAAAAGATGAAGTGAAGACAGTATTTAGGCCAAAAATAACTCGTGATAATAAATCAAGAGGTTTCATTTATTGTATGCATGGACTGTTGTTTCTTTTTCTGTTTTCTTCGGTATTCTGATCATCTCTTTGTGAGTTAGATAATTGTAGATTGTGTATTCCGTCGAATGGAAATCATTGAGACACAGTAAATTCATAGAAGTTAAAATAAATTTTAAAAAAACTGCGTAAAAAGTAAAGAAACAGTTTATTATGGTGGAAAAAAGCTGCTAGGATTTCTAAGCCTATGGTGACGTCTAATAGTGGAAAATAGGGGTGACTATCCCTCCTTAGCTAGGGATGATGTCCTACCTCAGATACTCTTACCCGATCCATGTCGTTTCAAGGGCCAGGGCATTGTTAACGTGTCCGTACTAGAAGCTAAAACACCAACAATGACAGAGGAATATGGTTCAAATACAACTTCAAGAAAACACCGCTTATAGTGTACAGAAAAATCCGTGCTGTGCTTGGGGCTGAAAAGGTGGATTCTAACTATCTGATATTGAATTGATCCTACCAATGTAGAATGAAATGGTTAGGCGTTAACAAACAACATGTTATGCAGCAGGTAATAAATAATAAGTACGCGGATAAAAGGATTATTGAAAATAACATATGAAGTATGTATTTTAGATGCTGTTTGGATGATGGTAACAAGCAGTGAAATCAAGATGGGGCGTTTCATCCTTTTCAGGGCTCATCAACCATCAGCCTAGTAGATAACTCTTTAAAAAGATGAATGCCGGGTTTGGGTCTCAATGGGATCAACATCGCTAACAGAGGAACCAAATACACCCTGATGATAATCGCTAACTAATACGAAGTATGTTTTATGGATTCTTCTACTAGACACCGCCAACCAAAATAACATCATGTTTATCTTCGAAAATCATCAAAGGACTCGTAATTGAAGCTGATTTATCAACAGAGAAAGAGCATTTCTGTCTAATATAACCAATTCACATGAAAATTTAAATAATAACTTCAATCTAGATAACTTGAATTTTACACTTTGTTTAGAGAGGAAAATAAAACCTCAGCAGCACATCAACATTTCACTCTGTTCTTTGCGGTCTTTTTTATCTGGCTTCACACTTATTCATAAGCTTACATTTCCTCCGCACACAAACTTTTCTGCATCACCCTTTGACGCCCAACTAGTCGTTTCACATTCACGTTCCACTCAAGGGTCTGTTTCTTGCGTGATGTCACTAAGTGGTCTCCTCAGCGTATGTTGAATCCGTCTCCATTTTCTCCTGCATATTTGTTGAGCAACAGGTTGTTGGCCGATTATTTGTTAGAGTTATTTGTTGATTATCCGATCTCACTGCAAAGCGAAGGCAGATATTGATGAGATTCTGAAGTTGGTTGTAAGTGATTTGTGTACCTCGCCAAGTCTCTGAACCGTATCAGAGCACTTCCTGGCTTAACATTATTGGTGTAGATATGGATCTTGTTCCTAATGCTGGGTGCACCAAACTTTCAGACTGATATCGGAGTAAAGAATATCTGTATTCCTTTTCAGATCCTGACCAATTTTGACGTCCTCATCTGTGCCTCCTGGGCTAGCTTACTAACTGAACTAAAGCCTGGAAAAAGAGGGCAGGTTTGGCGTTGGTCTGGTGACTCTACCTCGGAAAATCAATCCAGTCGCTACGGAAACCTCAAATCACAGGATATTACGGATTAACTGAAGAGACAATATGTGGTAGGCTGTTGAGAGTCTTCGAGTCAACCTATATGTCTTCTTTTGATAAAAACACAAATAAGCTTGAGAACATGGAATATCCACACGGTGTTTAAAACTGACAAGGCTACTCAGATCGCAGAATAAATGGGAAGATATGACACAGATGTGCTAGGAGTATGTGAGAGTAGATGGAATCCTAGAGACCTCTCCGGATGGCTAACTGGACATCAAAAAGGTGTAAATTTTGTCTATTCTGAAAGGTATTTTATATATATATTCTCAACAATCTATTAATTAACAATGAGCAAACTCTGCATTTCCTCACTAACCAATATCATACCGTAAACCTCAGATAGTCTGTTTTGTTCTTATGATATTGGGGAGCACAAAGATACCTTAAGTGTGAGGAAACACCAAATTAGTATAATTTTAAGGTAGTTGGCTGATATTAGGCAAAATTAAGAGCAAATAAAACACTTTATTGTTATAGTGAAGTAATGGATGGCCTATTGAATGCGCAATAATTAACGCTTAATTATCCCTAATACATTAATATTATTTAAAACTAAACTGTCACACACTAGTTATTTAATTATTGAAAGTTAAAATCTTTAGTTTCCAGTTTTTCTTGGATTTTCATTTGCACACTTGACTAGTATGAGTAATAATCTAATTTAACTTGTAAATCAGAGGGGAAAACCTCATAGCTTCAGTTATCCGCTTTACCTGTTACAATTTGAGAGGATAAAATGATAAATCTCTTGTAAAGGTCATTTGTTCAAGATTCCAAATTCCAAATCTAAGGCGGGAAAGGGCTGAATTATACGTAAATCTTAGATATTTTCGTTTTTTTAGAATTATTATTGTTGTTTTGACAGTTTTCCAGTGACAAAAAGAAACAAAAAAAAGATTTTATTCCTCTTCTATTTTCTTATACAACTGAATTTTTTATTTTTGAAGGAAAATTCGTTATGCATCTTCACTGTCTCTTTCTTTCTCTAACATTTCTATTTCTATGCTTGAATATGCCAAAAAAATTTCAAAGATTCTATGCATATTTACATTTTGGGAATAAAGTTATCATTGGTGTTAGGTGAAATTATTTGAAGAATTTGAAGCAACTGTGAGAGGGCTGTGATAACCGTGACCTGTCAAATCTATGATTAAAATCAGTTGAAGTAGAAAATTAACTTATTTGAAGTTTATTCGTCTTATCTGTCTAAAAAGTAGTTCATCAGTTGAACAACCAAAAAAGGAAGAAATTTGATGTGATTATTAAGAAGTCACAGAATATTTATTAAAGTTCGCTAATTTTCATCTAACTATTAGTTGCTTGATATGAGAATGAGATATATATTAAATTGAATTAACTCTTTTGAGATTTAATGAATTAAAAGCTAAAAGACTGATATAGGCGGTAAGTACTACCTTGTAAACTGTGAACGATAAGAATCTAATGCCCTAACAAAAACTACTCCATAGTCGTTAATCAAAATATTAAACACCACCAATACCATACCACCGGTAAGCTGAATTAAGAAGGGAAGATGAATAGTTGACAAGACTGCTGTTACTGTTACCGTGGAATGCAGTTACATTCAGGTGACGTCCCAAATAGGACGAAATGAGCATCCTGGAATCCACTGCTAGTCACCATCCACCAATTAACTTCTAATAGTCAAAACAGTTTACAGCAATGTTGGAAATATATAGGTTTAAAAAGACCTTTATAAATTCTAAGTCCACTTATAAATTTAAATAGTAGATATTTACTGTGAGTGCAGGTTCTAGAAACCGGAGTTCTAGTGTCACTGAATTTTTCATTTACTTTAACTGTCATAATAATACTTAGATATGATAGAGAAGATTTGTAGCTCAGGTGGATGACATTGATATGGTTGTGTTCTCTGAGCTGGATAACTAATTTGCGAAGCTTTCATCGCCCTACTAGGCGACATCTTCAGCGCATACTCGTGGAGAAATCAGAAAGCTCACTTCAAATTGAAGTATGCGCTGAAGATGTCACCTGGTAGGGCGATGAAAGCTTTGCAAATTAACTATCCAGCTCAGAGAACACAACCATATCAAAGATAATAATACCTAGTTAAATCTTACCATCCTTCATTACATTAAGTGTATTTCTGTGTGCGGATTTATGAACTGGAGTCAACAGTGAACAGTCTGCAGTCTACTGGTGATGCTTAAATACAATTGAGGGACATCAAAATGGTGGTTCATTGTCAATAAATGCAGGCCATGCACACAAGCGGTTAGAGTTCGACTTCCCAATGACGCCTTCTTAAACGTTGTTTAGTTTGCTAGCTGACAGTAAGCCCGGAATAAGGAGTAGTTGAGTGTAACCCCAGTATCCTCATATCATAGAAATGCCACCACTGTTACTGAAACTCCATAGCCTACCGCTGTGGTTCCACTCAAAACCCAAATAATGATAGGAAGAGGCACCATTACAAAATATCAGTCATCAAATTACAAAATCAGTTTATTCCCTCATGACACTTTGGATTCTAATTTCAACATGGAAATAAAAATACTTGCCTATGTTAGTGAACTGAATTTACATCCTTTATAGAAGGCAAAAATGAGATTCCATTTCAAAGAGTGATCGAAATAGCCTGTTTAGTTTGTAAAAGTGTTCTGTGAGCAAAGACATGTATTTCGCACCGTTTACCTGCTGCTTAATGGAGTCATTTAAACGGCCTTATTGTGGCGTGTTGTAGAATCTATTAGGTAAATATTAATTAAAGTTATAAGCACCCTGTCAGTTCAAGTATCTGGTTGTTATGTAGTTATATTTATTGGTATAATTGATTGTTTCTTGATATGCATGAGATTTATTCAATATCAGTAATACTGCTATGTCTCTTCGTCTTTCAGTTGCTTACCTGTCATTAGGTCAGACATTGGATTAATCGGTCGACTCGAACCAATGACTGTAAGGGGAGAATGAATTGTATTCTGTGTTTGTAGATTTGGTACTATGGAAGGACTACTAACACCATTCACAGCACCAGGAGTACCAGCAGCTGTTGCACCATTAACACCTGATAGTATACCAGATGGTATGCCAAACTGACTTGCATAACTTCTTGTTAATGAAGTTGGACTGGCAGTGTTTACATCATGTGTTGTTAGTAATGGTGATGATGTGAACATTGGCGTCGCATATCCTGATTCATGTGAACTCTATTTTGTTCAAAAAAAGGAAAGAACAAAAGAAACAGATATGGTAAACAAGAGAGATAATAAATCGTGTTTTATTTTATTTTAATACAGGGAGAAAAGTGACTATACTGAGGGGTTTTGTACACTTTAATTGAGAGAAATAATATACGTGCAAGAATAATATATAATATACATTTTGAATTGACATTGGTAAGATGGAGACAATTTGCTGGAAGCCCTGGCTCTCGGTCATGTGCTTCTTGGAACTCCATAGCAAGGCTTTTCTACAATCTCGAAGATACTGATGAGAATCATAGATTCTAACACACGTGACGCGCCCAGCGTTTCAGCCAAGCAATAGTTATATAACATTAATTACAGCCTAGTGACCAGTCCTTATATCTATTACAGTTCCACGGGAGGTCATCCAGGGACACTCTGAATAGTTGGACGCAGTAAACAGAAACTTATCTACTACTGACTTATGTATGCATTCAGCTGTAGATAAAAAAATTCAAGAGATTACGAGATTATGTGTATAAAAAATATACATATGTGCATGTTTATAACTGAACTCGTCATTTGCGAAAGGAGGGGCGAGGATTCACCACTCTTTCCATCTTCTGGTTCTCATTGATTTAGCGCTCAGAGATGAGTCATTCTGGATACAGTGGTAATGATAGGGTCGGTCTCAAACGAGTCAAATGTCTGTCCAGGGTTTAGGTCACTTCAGTCTGGCTAACAAGCATTTCTGTTTAAAGTGGTCAGTTTCTGAATACTCATATCAATCAGCAGTATAGTCCATCACGTATCTATCTACTGATACCCATTTGAAATTTATTCGCCATCATTGCGTTTTACCTTATTATTTTCAAAACATTGGAGAAATTGACATAAACAGTATTCAAAAGGTTTCACGATTAAATAAGAAAACTGTTCAAAACAGATTTCTACTGACAATGTTCAAATTAGAGACAAAATAACACACTGAAATATTGTGAGATATTTCCTAATTTCATTGGCAAAGTTTTTTACGATCAAATATAACAAAAGAAGACAGTCTGGCAGTTGCTTATTCTAACTAATATATTATTATTCTTGAAAATAACAAAAATACTTCTGTCATTTGCCAAAATTATTAACAAGCAAACTGACAGTCTTTCCACACTTTATATACCACCGATAGACTTTCAGGGAATGTTAAAATTGTTCATTTCACTTCATATTACGTGAAACATGATAATAAACTGTGTTGCTTAACAAATATGAATAAAGAAATGAAGGCAGATTGGACAAACGCTACACTGAGGAGACCTTCAATTGGCTTCACACGCCACACCCCTGAGTGGAATTCGAATGAGGAGAGAAAAGTAGGGCGCCTGACTTCGACATGGAGACGAACGTGTGTAAGAGAAGAAGAAGTGAATATTTGCAGGCCATCGTGCAGCCAGCTAAAAGGGGTGACAGAGAACCAAGAGCAAAGGAGACAGTCTGTTTAAAACAAAAGTTTTATTCGGAAAGCAGTGAATGACTAATAATAATAATAATAATAATAATCCATAGTTTTTTGAATTTGGTTCCATAAATTTGAAACTTTAATAAACAATACTTTTGAATTCAGCTTAATTCTGTTATACAAGAAGGTGAACCCCTCTTATTTTCCATGGTTATTCATGACATGAGATCCGTTTGGCCAGTTAATTATTTTGTCCTGATTACTTTGTACACTGAATTAGTTTCCTGTTAGCACCTACTATTTAATCTGTTTTTCATTATTAGTGACTAGCATTGGAATACAGGATGCAAATTATGTCCTAGTCTAGAATTATCAGCTTACTGTCACCGCATCTTGGTGGGGAGAAGGATGGTGATTCGGCTAACGGCAGAACTTAAAACCAGTCGTTTAAAAGGATAAAGTGCCATCTGTTAGGCCAAAAAAGACATCCCATGTACAACTATTATTAGCTGTTATTTATCGAAACGTGTGTCTGTTCATGCTGTTTTTATTTGTTTCAATATGTCATCCTCTATTCGATAAAAATTATCTGTGACTTTTTCATTGACAAGAAACTTCAGCAAATGTTAATTATCTGATGATGGCTTATAGTAGAATCCAAGTGCCAATATATCAACAGAAATCGAACATTTCGGTCCAGGAGGGTCCAAGAGTAGTACTTCTATAAAACAACGACATCTGATACTAGTTGCTTGATATACTGGAGCTGGAGGCACATCAAGCTGACGGATCGAATGAAAAACGCCTTCTGAATTTCACTGTTAACCATCATCAATCAAGTAATATCAGGATGAATGTTACTTATATATTTCTATTCATTTGTTTTCCAACTTGTAATAGTTTTTCCACTGTCTACGTCACATACTACTAATTGATTGACACTAGTAGTTAAACACCACTTACGCCAGCCAGTAGTTGTTCCTATTCTAATCAAAGTGAGCTAAACACCTAATGGGCATTTCACCTGTTTGGGACGGGCTTACCATCGTTGAATAAGCTCAGATGGCTGAATCAGTTCGAACCACTTAAATCTCAGCCAGCTACCTGAGTGAGCTGGTAATACCTTAATTCAAAAACCAGTTTGCTAATGAATTCCTGATCTGCAGTTTACGCGGTTTGAGGAGAAAATTTACCATAGTTACTTTTGGAAAACAAAATTATTCAGACCACAGTATACGGGATATGCTTGATGCCATTATTGTTAATGAATGTTTTGACTTAAATTATTCCACTTTTCATAATAAATCTCATCACTATTAATTAATATCAGTCTACATTAGATTAGCTTTTCAGTGTCATACTTAGAACAATTAATTGTACTGTTCTTTTTTAAAAATTGAACCATTTCACAACTTTGTACACCAATGTTGTCAATACCATTTGACATTAAATTGTTCAAAAGTGTTAATTCAGCTTACATTGTTTGTCAGGTAATGGAAAAATAAAATTTAATTCACTGTAATCATTGTAAACGACACTCAACACAGTGAAAAAGAGTGAAAACAAGCATATCTCCTTTTATCTATAAGATGAAAGGTATGAAATCAGTTCACCACACAAAATATGCTGTATCAAATTGATGAAAAGATACATAGAAATAGAGGAGAGTGAGAGTTTATGAATGTTGGAGAGGTAGTAGCAAATCATAATGAAAACAACTGATAAAGTCATAACAATTTCTTGTTCCTGTTATTCATATTATTATTATTATTATTAATATGTAGGCTGCACATTTTGTTGCATATTTCATTCATGAAAAAAAGAAAACCAAATGGAAACAGAAAACAGGTGATTCTGATACTACTTATATAAATGCATATATATATATATATATATACAGTCAGTGTGTTCAATGAACTAAGATTTCTATATTTTTTTAATCTCTTAAAAAGTAAAACTCTGAAGTGACTGAATTATTTTATTGTGTAAATAATGTGGAATTTTTGACTGTTCAAGTGCAAAGTTTTATCCTGCCACTACATTTCGAAAAATAAATGTAAATTTAATTCAGCGAAAGAGAAATCAACTAACTAACTAACTAACTAACTAACTAACTAACTAACTAACTAACTAACTAACTAACTAACTAACTAACTAACTAACTAACTAACTAACTAACTAACTAACTAACTAACTAACTAACTAACTAACTAACTCACTCACTAACTAACTAACTAACTAACTAACTAACTAACTAACTCACTCACTAACTAACTAACTAACTAACTAACTAACTAACTAACTAACTAACTAACTAACTCACTCACTAACTAACTAACTAACTAACTAACTAACTAACTAACTAACTAACTCACTAACTAACTAACTAACTAACTCACTAACTAACTAACTAACTCACTAACTAACTCACTAACTAACTAACTAACTAACTAACTAACCAACTAATTAACTAACTAACTAACTAACTAATTTCATCGTGACCATATTGTGTTAAGATACTTAGATGATTTATTGTAGTACTTTCTTTTGTTTTTATTTCCGAAAGTTGTTAAAAATTATTCACGTGGTTATTTGTTTGGTGGTTGCTTTCACTGGAGTCCATAATGCCAGCTGCAAGTTATCTTTGACTATTCAGCTAGACGCGCTTTATCTTCGGCGGATGATTTAGCTCCCACTGAGATTTGAACGCAGCACTCATCGTGTAAATGACAAAGATTTATCGGCTAGGTCATTTGACAGCGGTAGTCACATCTTGCGCAATGGATGTCAGTTATTATTTGCTTAACTTGAGTAACCGATCATTCCTATCCAGTTAAAGATTATCCATGGGGAATATTAAAAGTAGCTTAAGCATTTAATTACTGTAGCGTCTTTGAAACTGGTCATTGTTGTTACTGAATGAGAATAAATTTTAAAAACTTTTATTTCTTCTCCAGCAACTAACTGATTTTATTACATGTTTACTTTTGTTTTTAGTCAATCATTTACTGTTATCACCCAGTCTTACATGTCATTTTTGTACATTTCATTAATCAGTCTGTTGCTCTCACCTCCTGGTCAAACACAACAAACAAGTTCAGAAGGGTGCTTAAGAAAGTTAACATCAGATTATTGTTTAACTCAGACACATTACAAAGCAGTCTTGTTCAGGTGAAATATTAGGGTGTAACCGTGGCTATAAAATGAGGTTTCGGTACTGTGCGATAATAAACCAAAGCCAGAAGAAACAAATACCATAAATTGTCAACCCAAATGTCGAGAAACCTAATAGAACCAAAGAGGCCTGGAAAATCTTCCGCCACAGATTTAAATGCCATCGAGTCACGTCAAAGATTAACTTTGATAATATTGAAGTCACTTAGGAGAAATGTCAAAAACACGAAGAACGTGTCACAGCAGAATCACTTGACATAGAATAGAATCCAAAATTCTTTGATAGGAATGAAAGGTTGAGACAATTTAACTTTTATTTAGCGACCTTCTCCTAATTAACTTAATAAATACAAATATGATAAACATTTTCCATTACGTAAAGACAACTTCGTTTCATAATTTATACACTTATCAAAACATTCTGGGAGCTTACAGTAATGGATGTGTACTGATGAAGACCCCTGAGTAGGTTGAACCAGATTTTGAGTGTTCCCCAATGTCAGTTCGTAATCCAACTTGAAATCCATCAAGCTCCTTGAAAGCAGCACTTAAAACAGTTTCAGCATCAAGTATCTGCCTTTATTTTTGCAGGACTCAGACAAATGTTAAACTTAAGGTTGAGTATAGTACTAACTACTGTTAGTCTGTAAGATTATATCACCTATTGTAAGTTTCAGTGTAGATGAAATAGTTTAAATGTACACATCTGGTGAGTCATTTAGCAATAAATGAAGAGAATAACTAACCTCACATACTGAAATAGGAAGCCCAGATAAGGTTGACTGCAGTAGACCTGATGAAAATGGAGTGGGTGAACACATCAGTGCTGGATTAGAAACAGCAGGTTTCGGTCGATACAGAATAACTGGACCTTTCGTTGGGCACTGTAATACAAATCAATTTTAAAAAAAGATAAATAATGCCATCTTTTGAATGTTTGGCATCTATAGGCTTATCTGTTTATTTTGCAAAAAACGTTCGATTCATGTAACGTAATAGGAGAACGGACTGAGTATCAACAACTTAACTACATGCTTGTATACATTTATGTGCATAAGGTGAATTATTTCGCTACAAAGTATTTTTAGTACTGATTGTAATTCATTCTATTTCTTTAATGAAATATGTACGCACATGTACATATATGATGAGTGGCAACAAGCACGGAACCTACGTACAAGGCTTACTGCCAACTACTCTCAGAATCCATTCAAAGTGTATCGCTACGGCAAGTCATTCATCTAGATTACTCATCACGTTACAAACTTGACTGATAGAATTTAATCATCATCAATACTAAGGGTCCAAATACACTCTGCTGACTAATCAATGTATTCATTACAGTCCTTCAAGAAATCTGTCGTCAGCCTGAATAGTTCAGCCATAAAGTTTCTGGGTACAATAATAGTTGAGGCCAGTTCGGTTCTTCAAGGAGATATCACTTTTTTAGAGGTTACGAATACACTATGATGACGACTGTTACAATCATTAAACCTAGGCCCTGGTCATCTTGCGATTGCCTTAAGTCACTTGACATAAAACACTGCTGTCAAGAAAACTTGACAATAGGATTATCGCGATCTTGGCAAATGTTTGCCTTTTTTTTCCTTCACGGTCCCCAGTGGAACATAGGGCGTCAAGCTAGTGGCTTGAAGTTTTTGTAGCAGTGTTTAATTTTTACAGGATGGGGTCGCTAGCCTCATGCCCAACCTTTCCTCTTCACCAGCATTATTTCTGGCTTAGCGAGGTAAAGGAGTGCGCTGGCCGGGGATCGAACCCTGGACCATGTGCATGGTCGGCGAGCGTCCTAACCGCTATGCCACCGACGCAAAAATGTTTGCTTCAGTATACAATTATCACCAAACAATAGTCATTTTATAACCTTAACCTTAACCATGGATATAAATGATGAACTAATCCTGCCATGAATGAAGGAAAAATAAAAACATGCAAAGGAAATTTTCTGCTGACTTAGAGGAGACAAATGTACACAAAGTAGAAGTATCTCGCAATTAATTTTTACGTAGACTAAACAATCAACAATCACAAATTTCCGATTTTTCTATAAGAGTATCATAAAATGTATGTATTAAATACAGAATAACTTACCTCTAAGAAAATGTCGCATAACAGCTGAATACATTTTGAAATTGCATCCGCTGTGCCTGATATTGTGACTGTCCTTTCTGTTGATGTTGGTAAAGCTTCACTAGCCACTTGGATTGAAGCGCCAGTTAGCTAGAAATCGATCAGATGAATAATTTGATAAAAAAATAGAATTATAACAAATCTAATAAATTAGCAATTCCTTAACACAGTGTTATATTGTTTGGTAGTGGCTAGCAGTGGAATTCAGGATAAGAATTTCGTCTTGTTTGGTACTCATCATCCGGATATGTCTGCATTCTCACTGAGGAGTGATGTTTCCACTAGGACTCAGATCCGGCGGTCATCATTTCAAACTCCTAAGCGTTCGCCACCAGGCCATTTGGGCCACGACGTACACCTTTTGTGCGGTTGGTATCAGTTAGTATTTGATTTCGGGTTAACTTTGTATCTCTCTCTAATTGACAAGTCCCAGGTGGGACGAAATGTGCATCTCAGATTCCACTGCTAGACACCATCCATCAAATAACACTACATTAACCCTTGAACACTGTCGAAGCGTCCGTACTAGTATCCGACATATCAGCACAGACCACACATTTCGATGCAATATAATTAATCAATGTGAAATGCAAAAATTAATTAAATTAAACTAATTTAAAGAAATACTTAAGATATCAAAATTGTACTGAGTAGTAGTGAGAAGAAATGTAGATTACTGTATGAACAGACGCAGTAGTTTGAATAATTTGGCGATTTTTAAAAATTTCTTCCTTGAAATTAATGAACAATAATATGGTCTAAAATATATTTCAAAGTATTTCGAGTGTTGCTAAGAGAAAACTATATATCACATTGTCAGCAGAACTTTACGTTGTGAGAAAAGGCTCTTGAAAGATTAAAAACACTGAGCTAATCCATTATCGAATTGCTGACAGGTTGTAGTTTGAAGCTGATATAAGATGCTTTTACACAATGCTAACATTTAACTTTCATCTGTCAAGCTTTCACTGTCGTTGTCAACATCGTTTTCAGTAATTCTTTTACACAGATCAACAATATTTCAAGATTAGTAAATAACTTATTTGAGTTAATTTGCATTTCTGTTAATTGATTATATTTGACCGAAATGCTCGGCCTTTATTGACAAGTTAGCTCCTAGTATGGAAAGTACGACGATATCTGAGGACTAACGAGATGTTATTTTGGTTGATGGTGACTAACAGTAGAGTCCAGTGTCCACATTTCGTCGTATTTGAAACTTGTTAGCTGGATATTCTTGAATTCCCAGTGAGTGATGGTGCTTCCACAAGAAATGTAAACTGACTGAAAAACAAAATTATCACTGATACTCCTTAAAAAAAAATAATTTTTGTGGCCCTGGAAGCCTCGTGAATAATGCTCTGGCGTTTGAAACGATAGTTTTTCAGAATCTAAGCCTCAGTGAGAATACCACCACTTGCTGGGAATTCAGGTACATACAGTCGACAAGTTCTGAATAGGATGAAGTGTGCATCCTTGATTCCAATACCAGTCATCACCAAACAAAATTAGTATATAAACAGTGAATTCTGTAGACTGGATAAACTGTCACAGAACCTAAAATGTCAGCTTCAAACGTTTATCCTTATATTGAAAATGCTGTTGTTGTTTTGCATTGCCTGATGATGTTAAAAGGTCTTAACTTGCATGTATTTTGAAAAACAAACTTGTAAAACAGAAGGTAACAGTACAACAAATGAGTGGAGACACCAAGAGCCAAATATTTTATGAAATTTTGTGAACTTCATTATGTGTCGCTATGATGAATATTTCTCCCCCTCCAGCATTCCTTCCTGTAATTTTAAGTTCATTTTATTTAAACGCTGACAGAACACTGCAACGATGACGACAACAACGACCTAAGCTTCTATACTGTACTAATTTACATTGTCATACTATTTCCTCCTTTATTGTATATTGTTCATTTAATTCTGTCTTACAAGGGATAAATTAGGTCATCTGTGAACGCCAGTCATACATACTTACATACATACATACATACAAATGGCTGTGTTTGAAGAATTTCATGATAATTATCTACTTTAGTAATAAACGGAAATTATTAATTATAATAGACACGTGTAAGGTCAATTAGCTAGAGGATAGATAGCTATTTCAGCAGTCAGCAGTTATTATTCATAATGACTGGGAACACAATGCAATATTTCGTGTGTTTCTTAACCTAACTTATACGAAGACTTCACTTTATTCAAATATGTTGAAATAAAGCAGTAATAACAATTTTAGCATATTTCTTAACTGATAGTAATTTGATTTCTTTCACGTCATGTTCACACGTGCACTGTAATGTCTCATGTTATCCAGTCACAAGCACTTTTTTCGGACTATTTCTACAATCTTGAGGCGAGGGTTGTATTTAGAGCCTAATGCTTATATTCAAATTGTGCCTTTTTTAGGGTGTGGAATTTATTTCATTGAAAATCCAGGGGCAGTAAAAAAATGTTTCGTTATAATTCGATTCTTCTCAGAAGTCAATACCGACGACCCCATCAGAAACAAATACCCTGAAGTTCTAGTGTGTATTTTATGACCAGAGAGGGTCACTATGTCAGGATATAGCGGATGTTCAGAGTTGGCACTGGTAGGCTTTAAGGTGAATTGAAGTTTAGTTCTCTGAATTTAGATTCATTGGCTGAATGCTCAACATGTTAGCATTATAATTTGAAAATCCTGGGTTTGACTACTGAAGGGCTGTTTGGTGAGCACTAATGAGAATTCCCAAACTGAGACCAGGCAGTTATCCAGTTCCTTTTAGTTTTCAGCTGTCCACCAACTTCTGTTGGCTTGTGATGAAATCTGTCATGAATTTAATACTTTCAGTTTGAACTTAATCAGTGTTTGATGTAAGAATAGAACTTGTGCACTGTGGAATTGACAAGTGTCTCATAATCGCAGTAAAATATCATCCGTGTGAGAATTAAATGTGGGCTATCTGTCTTCATAAGGTGGTAATTATGGGTTTGGTGTCTAGTGGAATAGTATATGTGTGTTTTTGCAGAATTTTAAGTAACAATAGTTTTTGACAAAGTTCATCTTGACACTAACCAGATCACCACAAATCTAAAATTAGAAGTCTTTCAGTATTTCTATAATACTGAGTGAATGAAATTCATTAACCCCCTGTTTATTGATACTTAGAGCCCCTTCTTCCTCTGTGCCACTGAGTATTACGTACTTAAAAACTTCTAATTCTGAAACCACTTCTGAGTAGTTATATCAATTATGTCAACTTCGAATAGCTCAGTAGCGGACTACTATAAATTTTTGATAAATATAAATGTGACTGTACAGCCTTTGAAGATGATTTCACCGACAAAGTTTCTTCTTTGGATGAAATATACATTTTTTCCAGGGGAAATTAATAAACAACATTGATATTCCCAATTCTAATCGATAACCTCAAGGCAACTAGCCATACAATATAACAAAAGCGACTGCGATATACACTGTTTCATTTATCATGAAACACGGAGTATTTGAAGTGTTTAAATTAGAAACCAGAAGATAAAAAGCAACAAAGCAAAAAAGAGCTTGTTTTACCTCTCGAACGTCCTTGATTTTCGAGCCTCCTTTACCAATTATTGAACCACACTGAGTAACTGGAACTAATAAACGCAGTGTGACTGGTGGGCAGCTGACTGTTTCATCACCCATTCGTAATAACCCCTGGGTAAAATCCTAGGAAAAATGGAAGAGAGAAAGTAAAGGATATGGTGAAAAATTAATTCATTTCACGATTTGGTTCATTTTTTTAGCTATTTTGAACATAATTACTTTAAATCAACACAAGTGGACGACTAGTTGACCTTTTTATAAATTATAAATTAACTGAGGCAGAGTGTAAGACACGAAGTGACTCCTTCTTGCCTAAAGCCAAAGTATTTTCTTCTCTAAATCAAAGTGTTATTATCGAGTTTTTTGTAAAATTAGATTTGACAGCAGCAGTCTGTAGACAACTTCTAATTAACCATGAGAAGGATTGTAGTGGCAGGACACTGAAGATTGAGAGAGACAGGAGAAGTGGTTTGCTGCCATAATGATTACTGTGCAATATAATTATTCCTTATTTGTCCACTCCGAAATTTCAAAAATATATATCATAATATTTTCATAACAAATCAGTATTCACCAGAAGTACCGTTGCAAATCAAGGAGTACGGAATAAGATTTCATTGCAGACATAGGTTTATAAACTGTCATAAAATGCAGTTTACAAAGGTGTTATAAGACAAAATAAAACGAAACTATCACAAGGGAAAGTGAAGACAAATGCCTGCAGATAACAACTGACAAGGCTTATGATATTTTGAAGAGATAAAACACTTGTTTCATGAGAGTATACTCACTTTGAGGGGAGGAGTGGAGATCTGTCTACCCCCTAACTTATGCAGATTCAACAGTGGATGACGAAGTATAATATGGTTCAGTACTGTCCAACTTTCCGAAACCTTCTGGATGAAATGAATTTAAAATAATGATGGTTCTCAAATTCAGTTCTTTATCTACTTGGGAATAAGGTGTGTTTTGGAAGGGATTTCCCCATCGTCTCCTTCCTACGTTATTAAAAACAAAACATTGATGTCTACAGCCATCGAATAAATGCCAGAATATTACCACAAATATCATTATCGATAATGCATGACACTTCAGTTTATATTCGTCAAATTATTAAGACACAGAAAGAGAACATCTGTTCAACAGTGACTTCCATCTTCACTTAAATCTCATGACACAGACAACAGAATCTGTAAAACAAAATATGCATGAAAATGACAAAAATGGTGAAGTACCTTATTCAACGTCATTGCTTCACCAGTATACGGATGACCTGTGCGACTAATTTATGTATAAATCATTAGGTGAAAAAGAAAAAAAAATAAGGTGTAACCAATCAAATCCCTACAAACCAACACTTGAAAGGTGTAAATCTGCTTGACATAAAGACATCTAACCTATTACTATTTCTTTGAAATCTAGAATGGAGCACAAGGATTCAACAGCATATCCCCTTTTTACTCTGTTTTCTGCCCTTTTTCATTCTGGATCCATGGTTGCCCATAAGTTTCCATCTTCTCCGTCATCCTCGAACGGCCAGCTAGTCATCTTTCATTCGGATTTGACTCAAACACCCTGAATAGTAATGTCACTCAAAGTTATTCCTAGCCTAGTCCACCTTCGTTAGGTTGGTTGGTTGCTATAGTTTCCGGTTGTTTATTTCCCTCTGAATAGCCATCTGATCTTCAGTAGAGGGTGAAGGCATTAGCTAATAAAAGTCTACAACCTTCTGAGAATGCCCTTGGCGACGAGTGCGCCAAGTTTCTGAATGGTATACAAGAGCTGGTTGACTTGACTTTAGTGTTAAAATCCGAATCTAGTTTCTTGTGCTGAGTGCAGTAGATTTTCATACTGATTTCAGACCACTTAGGGTATATCTTGCAATTCCTACACCAGCTTTGACAACCTCATATGTTCCTCCTGTATTTGAAACAACGCAGCCTATATAAATGAAAGGAGTAACTTCCTTCAAGTTTCTAAGGTTGATAATGATTGGTGCTCATTGTTATTCTTGGAGTATTTTCATAAATTCTGTCTTCTCTATGTTCACTTGAAGTCCTGTCTTTGTGGTTTCCCCGCCAAGTTGTTAGTAATCGCCTGTGGATTTTTGAGTTTGTATGACATTAGACATAAATTGTTTGTGAAGTACACATTCTCCAGAGTCTTCTTGTCGGTTTCACGTATGTCTGTCTTCTCCCTCCACACGGTCTTTTACATAACTCAGTGCTCAGCAATAAGGAATATCATAGGTGGTGTTAGACTGCTTCGTTTTAATTTTACCTCGAATTCAAACGATTCACTAGGCTTGTGAGCCACTTGACATGTGCCACTGTCATGTAGGTATTGAATGAGGTTGATTCGGTTTTGAGGTACTCAGTAATGTTAAAGCATTTTCCAGATTACTCTGCAGTCGACTCTATGGAAGGCTTTTTCAAATCTGATGAAGCTGAGGTACAAATTTGACTGCCATTCTACGTCCTGTTTTATGACAATACAAAGAATCACAATATGATCTGCGTACAGTTTGCTTTTTCCGAATCCAACTTGTTTTGGGAGGAGTTTTACACCCAGAATATCGTTTAGTGTCTTCAAGGTAAAGTGAATTAACATTTTGTTAGGGATGGACAATAGCATGATTCCGCGATAGATTTTGCAAAAGCTAAAGTCGCTCTTCTTTGGCAGTTTGACAAGGTAACTTCTCCTCCTATGGGTAAGTACCTTTCCTTCCTTCCAAACTTTCTGCAATATTGGCGTGATCAAAAAATCCACTCAGTCTAGAAAGGTAGAAAATATTCTTACCAGGGGAAACTACCATGTCATTTTTGATACGGTTTATTGTTACACTAAGGTGTGTTACTATTATTATCATCCACATATGATGTATGTACACGAATATATCTGTCAATGAATTGAAAAACTGTTGCAATCATTAAAATAATTAATCATTAGTGCAGTAAAATAAAACTATCTACAAATCATGAAAACTGTCTGCAAGAGAAAAAGAGCAACTGAAATGATATTAATAATAACAATAGTAACATTTCTTGCTTACATCTTCAAACTTTTGACTCATTAGTGTGAATGCTATATAGATTTGTTCAGTAGTTCCAGTTATCGTCACAATCCTTTCTGGACTAGACCCATCTGATATATTAATTCTTGCTCCACTCTAAATTGATGAAAGCAGAATAGTGGAAAAAAACATAATGAAGAAATGAAAAAAGATAAAGTGACGTGCGATTTTTAAACTAACGGAGTGGTAATTATGTATTCATGCTTACATCATATCATTATTAATATTACTGTTCGTCTCTTTAGTTCCTAGTGGAGTGTAGAGCGTCTGCTGTACATTGTCATGTCACTGTCCTCTCTGCAGTCTCTTTTCTCTGGATTTACGATTGCCCACAAAATTTCACTCTCTCTTCACATGATCTTTTAGTGTCATCTTAGAGCATATAACCTCTTACTTCCCATTTGAGTCTCACTTCGAGGATCTGCTTGGCGTCTGAATTCACTCAACGGTCTTCTTAGAAAATGTCCAATCCATCTATATTTTAGTCTGTATACTAGTTGAATGACAGGTCCTTTCTCAATTCGTTGCCTGTTAAATTTCCTTGTCGCTCATCCATTCAGTGTGGTCTTTAGTATCATAGGACGGTACCAGGTCTCGATGAAAATTTGAGGCAGGCTGGTGGAAATGCTGCCAGTGATGCGGCAAATCTCTGAGCCATGGCGAAGCATTCACTGATCAGAAATTCATGTTGAAATTTCGGATCTTGTTTTTGTGCTGATTGTTGCTGCACACTGATGATATTTCTGACATTTATTTTAAGGTCCATAATGATTTCACCATAAAAAGTCAACTTTCATGCAGTCATAGATCTGGCATTAGAACTCACGACATATCCAAATATTTTTGAATACAATTTAGTGTTTGTATGATTTTTGATTAGTTTTACTATTCTAGTAAATGTTTGAAGCTTCATTTCGCCTAAAATTTGCTAATATAAGGTACCTTAATCTAGACACATTCAATTTTACCATTGTAAACACAAATAATGCACTGTATTTTTAGAGGTTAAAACAACATCTATTAGGAACAAGATACTAAGTGATTTTTCGTAACTAACAGTAATTGGAGATATATGCTTTTAAATAAATTGGACAAAATCAGAACTAGGCAAGGGTCTAACAATTATCCAGGTGAGGAATGAAAACACAGGAGATAGATACATAGATGAATGAAATCATGAGGAGTAGGGTGACTGGAGTGCACAAAGTATTAGTATAGGTGTATTGATATGCAGTGGGAAAGGATAACTTCAGGGTTGTTAGACTTACAGTGTAATTCTGACGGAACTGTATGGAACTAATTATTTCTTAATTGAATATATATTCCAAAAAACATCAAAATAAACAAAAGATCAAATGGAATTAGAGTAGATTGAATTGAACAGCGAAGGAGTTAATGAATTTGATTTCATTGACGGTTCCAAACAACACAGATCAAATTACAACATATATTTAACACAGAGAAAAAATATCACCTGACTGGTCAATCACAGAAGAAAGATCTTTGGTTTTCCTAATTAGTAAACATATTTATAAATTTTTTGCTCTCTTTGTTTTCTGGATCAAACATAGGGCTTCAAGCTTTTAAGTTTCAGTATTGATGGTGTTATTATTACTGGTGGAGCTACTAGCCTGAAGCTTGACCTTTCCTCTTTCCTGAGTCTACTGTCAGCTAGAAAACCAGGAGACGTTTGGGAGTAAGTTAATCGGGAATAAAATCTTGACCAAAACAATTAGAACTGGTCACTTTCTGAAAAGTGGTAGCACACTCCAAGTATTCATCAATTCTCACAAAGAAAAACAGAAGTTATAAAATGAAGTAGAAAGATCATGTTTAACGCTTATCTTTAATGAGCCATTTCGTCAGTTTGTAATTGTATTATTTAAATGCATATTTTAAGAAATTATACTGGCTAAACAGGGGTTTAACAGCTTTTGATACTTATTATTATTGTTCCCTTGGGTTTCGAGCGGAACGTAGGGCTTCAACAACTCATCTCCATTTTCTTCTATTTTCTGATGTCCTCTTCAGCTTGGACCAAGATTGCTCAAACTCTCTAATCTCTTCCTGACACAGTATCCTCCATATCACCTTAGGATAACCCACTCGTCGCTTCCTGTTTGGACTCCATTCGAGGGCTTGGCGCATGATGCTATCCGATGACCTTCTCAACGTATTTTCGATCCATCTCCATTTTATCCTGCATATTTGTTGAGCGGTTGGCTTGGGTGGTTTGTTCCACTGCAGAGTTTATTGTTGCTTATTCTTTCTGGTCAGATATTTGATCTTTAGTATGGAGCGAAGTAGGCAGCTATTGATAAAAGTCTGCATCATGCGGTTGGAAATCCTTTACGTGACACGCAATGCAAGTTTCTCACCCGTATAGAAGAACTGACTGACTTCACATTTGTGCTGAACAGAATCCGAATCTTGTTCCTAATGCTGGCTGGGTGTAGAAAATTTCCAAACTGGTTTCAGGTTGATGAACGCGTATCTTGCTTGTCTTTCCGATTCTAACCAGCTTTAACGTCTTCATCCTTTCCGACTGCCTGTAGTTGAGGCGATGCTTCTCAGATAAGTGAAGGAGGTAACCTCTGTTAAATCTCTCCCGCCGATGGTGACTGGTGGCGGTTGTTGTTGTTGTTAAGGCTCGTTGGTTATCTTCAACACCTCCGTCTTCTCTATGTTCACATGGAGTCCTGTCTTCGCTGCTTCTTCAGCCAGTTTGTTGTTCTTCGCCTGCAAGTCATCAAGTTTACGTGACATTAGATATATATCATCTGTGAAATCCAGATATTCTAGAGTCCTCTTATTGGTGGTCCAGCGTATTCCTGCCTCCTCACTCCCACGCACAGTCTGACGCATAATCCAGTCCGTCACAATTAAGAATACCATCGGTGATAACAGGCAGGCAGCCCTGTCTTACTCCTGTATTCACTTCGAACGCCTCACTGGGTTTTCCGACGTGGATCATCTGACACGTGGCATTGTCATACAGCCAGCCGTTGAATGAGGTTGATAAAGACCTGAGCACTGCACGCCGTCGTGTGGAAGTAGTTTTCAAATTACTTCTGGGCCAACGCTACGCTGTTGAAGGCCTTTTCGAAGTCGATGCAGTTGAAGTAGGTTTTTGACTGTCATTGTATGCTTTGTTCTGTGATGATGATGCGTAAAGTTGCAATTTGATCAGCACATGATTTGCCTTTCCTGAATCCAGCTTGTTCCTGTTGTCGGAGTCCTGTGTCCAGTGCATCTTTTATTCTCTCCAGGATGATGCGACAAGAGCATTATTTCACGCCAGTTCTTGCGGAGAGACACATTAGTCTCCCTTTGTTGTCAGCCTGACGAGGTAGACAGTGTTTCTTAAAGTTGGTATGTACCTTTCCTTCTTTCCAACCCTTTTGCAGTAATGGCGTTAGCATGTCAACTGCAGTCTCTGGGTCTGTTTACAGTGCTTCGGAGGGGGTGGGGTGATTCCGTCTGATCCTGCTGCCTTACCAATTGGACTTCAGTAGCTTGATCGCATTCAGCATTTATGCTTTTGTTGGAGGATTGGTGTCCACTGGCAGGCAGTTCTGTGCATGCTGTTGGTGGTAGCGGTATTTAAGGGCCAGTTGCAGGTGACGGTCGATTCAAGAGTCCTTTAAAATGATCAGCTCATTGTTTGATTTGTTTCTTCTCCTTGGTGATCTGGTTCCCTTGAGCATCATTTATTGGTTTCATCATCTGGGTTGATCTCTTCCCTGATAGAGACATGGTTATCTGATATAGTGTCCTGACGTCTCTTTTGTCTGCGGCCTGTTCTACTTCAGTTGCCGGTCAATGTTTCGTAGAATTGTCGTTTGTCTTTCCTAGCACTCTTCTTCGCTTCTTTATTCACTGCAGTGTACATTGAACTCAGCTTCTCCTTCTGTTGTCCATCTTTGCGTTGAGTCATCTTCTCTTTCACCATCCTTCTCTCCTCGATTAGCTTCCAGGTATCCGTTGACAGCCATTCGTTGTCTTGTCTCTTCCTTCTTCCTAGAACAGTTGTACACGTTTCCTTAAATATCCCTTTCAGAGAGTTCCAATGTTCTTCCACACAGTTTTCCTCAGTGATGCCTCGCAGTGTGTCCATCTTTGCTCTGATCTGATCTGTAGCGAAGGCATACCTTGTAGTTTTGTCTTTCAATTTCTGAATGTTGAATTTGAATTGTGGTCTGTCACCATTTGTTTTCAGGGATTTCAGCTTCGCCTTGAAGGTTCCTTGAACTAGACGATGCTCTGAGCCCAAATAAGCTCCCCTTCTTGATTTTGTATCCAGCAGGCTACGTCTTTACTTCCTTGAGGACCATTGATATGAAATCTATTTGGTTTGTAGTATGTCCGTCAGGCAAAATTCATTTTGCTTTGTGTATATCCTTGTGTTAGTACACGCTCCCTCCGGTCATCAAATCGTTGCAAGAGCAGAAGTCTGCGAATAATTCTCCGTCCTCATTCATTTCTCCGAGCGAGTGCCTCTCGACCCATGATGAGTTCTCTTCCTGTGTTATCTGCTTCCAGTTTGGCTGGCGTTCATATCGCCCATCAGGATTTTGTTGTCATCATTTGGGATGCTGTCCATTACTGTTTGCAGTTGTCTGTGATAATCTCACTTCTTCTCTTGTTCCGCGTTGTTTGTGTTATTGGATAATTGTTACCTTCCTTCTTTTGGAGTTGAATCTTGCTGTCATGATCGTGAAGGATGAAATCGGCTCCCACTGTTTTAGGGCCTTGACTGCCCACTGGTGACATTATGATGGCCACTCCCTGCCTCATTGTGTTCATGGTTGTCGTCTGGGTGACCGAAGTAGATTATTGACTCTCTCGTTAACAATTTTCTCAATCCACATCCATTCCATCTGCTTTCGCAGATACCCAGTACTTTAAAGCCACATCTTCGCATCACTTTAGCTACCTGGGCAGCCTTACAGTCTCATACATTGTACGGACACTCCACGTACCCATTCTTACTCTTGCTTTCATTAAGAGAAGACACATCGGTTGACTGGCTTCTCGAAGGCTTTCACCAGCCAGCCCGATGTATCATTTTGCCTCTCCGATTCCAGGGAAGAATAAGATTTCTATTTGAAGTTTTTGTATTTTTAATATATTTTCTGTGTGTTGACGTTTTTTACCGTTTTGAAAGATTTAGTGGTGTAGGGTTGCTAACCCTACGGCTAACTCTCCCTCTTTATCCGGGCTCGGAATCGGCTAGAAAATTAGCAAGGTAGTTAACTAGGCAAGGTTCTTTTGATACTTGTGTAGTCTGAATGTTAAACTGACTAATTATATTACACAGAATGCTATTTCGCAACTTGCTAACCTTACGGAGACTATCGTCCACTTACTGAATGAGAAAATAATATTTTATTATTGATGGTGAGACATCCAAGATAATCTTGGGTTGATAGGCTATTACTGATGTAGTTTCTGATGGTTGAAGGTGAAGTGTGAATGTTCAGACCAGTAGCTCACGAATTACCAGTTCGGTGCTATATCGGTCGAGCTATGTGACACAGCTGTCACACATTTTATTAGAAAATCACAACAAAATCTTGCAGTTAAGTCATTTTCAGTTTCTCAGAAGCTTTAAAGTTCACTGTTTAGTGAACTGTCTTCGAGAAATAATTTACAGTTAGGCTGTAGGGAACCAAAAATTAATTTGAAAATAACTGCATCATCAGTTGTAGATTTAGAATGTCCCAAATTGTAGGAATGACTTCATAAACTGTCCTGTTAATTTACAAATGATTGGATTTTCAAGAGTTGGTTTGTAACGATATTTGCTTTTACGAGTTTGACTACGGATTCACATCAGTTAGAGAACCATTGAAGACCAGAGAGTATTGAACAGCTGTTTTATCCTAGTTTGGGAATTACCTACAGAACGCACCCACTGGAATTCGAACCCGGGACCATCCTGTTACAAGTTGAGCTCGTAAACCACTAAGCCACTGGGGCTCGATTCAATGGTCAATGAATTCTAACTTCTACCAATTTGTGATTTATTGCGGCCACTAGCTAATGTCATATGCAGGAAACCTACCCTCACACTTGACTGAATAGATCTCACTGGTCACGACTTTTCACTAGAACTCCAGGAAACTCAGTCCTGTAGCAGGTCACTAGTGAGCATTAGATCAGGTGGAATTTCACGAACTATGTTGATAAAAAGGAAAGAAATCGAAAGTGTGAACTATATTAATCAGAGGTACTCTGGGCTATTTCTTTCTTCCTAGTAGCCTTTTTTGATTGATAGAATGTTTCTTAACTGCCTAACCTTTCGGATCCACTGGTACAGGGAAATTGGCAGTGTTTAGCAATTCGTCAATGTGTAAACAATAATTTTCGAAATGTGTTTGATGAGATAAAGCATAAAACTTTGTTAGCTGCACCTAGTTTGCAACGATACTGTAGCTACTATTAGTGTGCTGTGAAAGCCGCTGTGTTCAAGAACTGTCAGCTACTTATACAGATTTTTTCATTCCTTCACGTTCCCAGTGGAACATAGGGCTACAAGATAGAGGCTCAAAGTTTCCGTAGTAGTGTTTATTTTTAAAGGATGAGGTCGCTAGCCGCATGCTCAGCTTTAATACTGGCTTAGTGAGGTAGAGGAGTGCGTCGGCTGGGGATCGAACCCCGTAACACATGCGTGGTCGGCCATCATTCTACCGCTGTGCCGCCAACGCGCACTTATACAGTTTGTCATTCTGTGTTTATCTTCGCTTGTATGTGGCCAGAGTTAGAGCAATGGAATATATTCAGTCATACATTCCAAACTGTAAATGTCTATCCTTTTGATTGTGTTAGATTAGCCATTTCAGGATTTATGTCTGTGAAATGTTCAGAATATAAAATAGCAGTGACATTAATTGTTTTAAGCACGAAATAGTTACAGACAGTTAACAAAATTATAACACCATGCATGTCTTAATTTAATAAAAACAGTCTAACTGGAAATATGATATTTGGTTCTCTTATATAACAGAACCTTTCTCATTTTAAGAATAAGTAGGAAAGCCAAATGGAACATGGTTTTGCACACACTTTAGTTTCATACCTCATTGTCTTCCTCATTCATTTATTCCCTTTTGTACAGTTAGACTGACCAATTCATTCTCACTTCAACAATATAATACTGACGAGGGTTTCTTAATTTATACTCGGTCTTCTTCCTACCTCGTCATTCTTCTTACAACACTTTCATGATTCGTTTTAGTTATCTTTTAGTTCAACACTAATGTATGGTATTTGAAATAGACTGATTCTTTTCAGTTCTTGAATTCCAAATGGATCTTAGGGCTCTAAACTCTGAGGTTTCAATAGTGGTAATGTTGTTTTCACCTGCAATCGAAGTCTGACCTCCCATGTGGTTGGTAAGTATTCCACTAATAAACCACAGGTACAAGAAACCACCGCATAGAAATGCACAGTTCCTCAGATATTACTCTTTCTTTTTATGTCCAAGTGCACCTGCCCTAAAACCTTTAACTGTCTGAAATACTATCATTTGAATTTCTTTTTAACTGGGAGCAGCTTCAACAGAGCATTGCTCAGATCTACTGAGTATTGTACGTGTATCACTCAAATCGCTGAACAGAATTCAAGAGGTTCGAAATGGTTCGGCTTTATGAGCTAAGTCGAATGGAGTACACGGATGAGCTCGCCATCCGGTGTTTAAATAACTCGATCTGACTAACAGGTACTACTTTTTGATTCAAAAGATATTCAGCAACTCATCTCAATCTATCGGTAGTGCGTAGCATCGGAAACATACACCTGAGCTACAAATCTTCTCCATTATTTCACCCAAAAGAGTATTCTTTCAAAAATATTTTCTTTCTTTGATAAGACACTTACTTCTTCTCTATACTTTCTGACATTTTCGCCTCTCTAAAAATAGAAGAAAAAAAGAAAACGAAAAGAATAATAAACTCCCAACAAATATTGCATTCTCATTTTGAAAAAATGCATAAACTTATGCAAATTCTAATCAGTTTCCTAGGAAAAATGAATTTTAGAAGGGCATAAATATATATATATATATATATATATATATAGGTGTCTTTTGTCTAGGTAATAGAACTTGGTAGTGAGACAACCTGACAGTAAATTTTTTTGCTAAATAAACTTCATAGAAAATGGAAATCTAGCTTATTTATGTACACTCCGTTTTATACTCAGTCATAGTACGAGGAGGATGTTCATTATTGTCGTCACCATATGACTGGTCATGTCCTGATTTCGCCAAGTCAACTTAATGAATAAATGGAATCAATAGCAGTTTAATCCACTGAAGACGACTTCATTTACCCTCCTTTGTTATCTTCTCACTAATTCCTAACGCGTATATGTTAACTTAATAAGAGTAATGATTACTCATATCAAGGTTTGAGTGGTGAAACTTCTGTACTGATAAAACGTTATCATTGTGATGGATGGTGATTGAGTGTGTAATGAAAATGTTGGCTATGGAAAGATTGTAACCAGTGGACTTCGACTTCCATACCCACCACTCTAGGAGTTGAGATAGGAGATCAAACTGTTATCCAGTTCATTAGTTCACTGAATTTCCTCCAGGCAGTGTGCATCTGCATGTACATAAATCCTACTTAACCATCCATTAATCACCACTCCAGTTGCTTGTCCAGGTCTTTACAGCCAGTCCTAATCATAATGCATAAGAGGAGGAGGTTGTTAATCAGTGATAAGACACTGGCACTGTTATTGATGTAGTGAGTAGTGAAATGAAAATCTGTGTGATACCATGATATGACTCGAAACAGCAGTCTTTGAATTACGAGTCACGTGCACTAACAGCTGAATTACGCTAACCAGGTCAATTATCACTGGTAATGCTCAGCTGTCAAATGAAAAATGATAAGTCACTATTCATTTACCACATAACCTGCTACCTATCAACGTTTTCTTTTATAAATTTTCATCAAAGTTAATTACAAAGAGTGAAATTAATAATTACCAATTAAGTTTTTAGAATCATGAATACAGAATATTTCTACTTTAACGTTAAATTTGACTTTTTGATCTCTCAATCCCCAATTAGCCCTATAAGAAGTTAGTGAGAGTCGTTCTTAGCATCATTTCACCTTTTATTTCTGTACACAAATATAAATAAACTAGCGACTAAATAAGAAAACATATGTATTTCAAGCTTTGGTTTTCAGGGATGTGACTGATTACAGGTTAGATCGCAAATTGATATCATATAGATAACTGTTAGAAACTACGAGCATTGGCCAAATGTTTCGCCCCATTCTGAGATCCTTCATCAGAATGCAGTTACCACTTCATCGTCTTCAACCACTGAGACAGAATCGAATAGTCTACAAATTCTAATTTCTGCCAATTAAAGATAATTAGAGCCACCTCCAGCTAGTCTCATCAGCGAGTAATTCTCCTCATATCTGACGTGGTTTGAGCGAATGGTCACGAAATATGATTTGCACTGCAAGTGACTTCAAACTATATTCAGTCATGACTAACCATTAAATTAATGTCGAAGTGTTGGTTTACATGGATCTGATTGCTTTCATGCTTGATCTTGAAACTACTCAGGTCGAATCACAGGATCGGTATACATATTCAGGATATTATCTGATACAATACGAGGAATATATCTGAACAGTAGAGTGAAACCTGAATGAATGAATGGAGAATGAATATCCTGAAAGAAAACTATCTGTATATTCTCCAGGACGACAGTGTTTAAATGTGTTAATGAAGAAGTTTTGTGTCGTTCAAATATTGCGATAACGATGAGAAGTTTAGATGTAAATTTTCATTTCGATTGATGCTTCACTTATAAGGAAAGGCAAAGGAGTAATGCTAACTACAAGGAAAGACAACGTTACTTTTGTGATCAATTCAGACTATATACTTATGCATTTTTCTTCTTGAATTTTTTTTGAATGGGAGTAGATAGATGATATCTGTTGACCAGTGCTCATGAACACCGTGTAAATGGCATTTCAAAAAGTCCAATCACATATCATTTAGCAAAGCTTAATGACAATATTGTTATTAGTTAAATATTTTGGGTCACCAGAAACCAAGTAACAGGAGGCACCATGGATTTATAGAAGTCTGGGATTTTAGACTTTTGTGAACAGGATAGAGACAGTAGTCAACCTACAAACCTTTCTCGATAGCATACATCTTCTTATCATGTCTCTCCCTTCCTCTCTCTCTCTCTGTCTCTATCTCTTTCCAGAAAATTCAGTCACATTTCAAACGAGTTTAAAGTCTACTTTATTTCTATCCTTTGTACTATGATAACTCTATCATTACATATTAAAATTATTTTCTTATGAAATGTTACACTACTCATCTAGTGTGTATCATTTTCTTACACTTGTTCAACATAATAATCAAAGTTATATTATAACAATGTCGGTGTTGATTGTATTCACAAATGTTGACAAGTCCTTGTGAAATTCATTAAAAATTTATAATGTGTTCAGCTTCCTCTGGATTTGTTGCTTGTTTTAAATTCACACTGAGAAAAAGAAAGATGGAGATCTTCCAAATGACATGATGAAAACAAGAAACTGTATGCAAAGTCGCACATATACACATACATACAAAGTTTAGAACAAGTAGAAGATAGTTGCGAAAGTGTGAATGGAAAGCGCTTTAATATCTTATTAAGTGAAATGATAAGAAACACGTTTAAAGTGAAACACTTGTTGTAAGATAACGAAGGTATATATATATATACCTTTGTCTTCTATATTTATTACCACTTAAAGTAAAAGGGGTAAACAAGTCGACTTTCTTTTCTTTCTTTATCTCACTTCCAGATTTATGACGTAAATTATTCAATTGTTAGGTGTTTTTAAAAATAAATTTACAGTTGTTTTCATTTGTGAAATCAAAAATCCAAATGTACTTTCTAAATTCAGAGCAAATATGTAAAAAGTTTTTGATGATAAACTATAAAAATGTAAACAGACAGTGAGTGAATGCAGGACGAAGTTGACTGAAGTTCTAGTGGGAGGTTATGATCAGTGGGATCAACTATGCCAGATATAGGGAAACATACTTGCTGATGATACTAGCTGGTGGTTGCGGTATGTATACTGTGAATTGGCAGAAGTTGAAATTCATGGGCTGGCCATTGCATTTCGTCCCAATGACTGAATGGTCAACCAGCTCGCTGTTGTAACCTGAAGGTACTGCATCCGATGCCTGATGGTTGGTTTAAGAGTACGTACTGCTGAAAATACCTAGAATGGAACATAACATGTGACCAATAACCCCTAATTTTTAACGGTTCTTTAACTTGAAACCAATGAAAGTACTGAAAGCGAGCTGTTGAAAGTGGGATAGAGGTTGAATTTCAAAAATACCACTGTACTATCTCTAAGAGAACTATTTCGACATTCTATAGATGATATGCCGGATTGATTACTGACATAAATAACTTCATTTCAAAAATAAACAAATAGATTGCAACTATCAGTTATCAGTATCACATATTTGGTACCAAATAACTTGACTTAAACAGTCAAATTTACACTGTAGTCATCAGTTTAATGGACTGGTCACTGAAGTAAATTTTTTGAATTCGTGATATTTGGTTGGAGATAAGAATCTCTGCAATAAGGTTTCTTTTTTATTAGCATTCATCAACATAGCTTATTTGTAGCACTCTGAGATTCCAAAACCCGTGTCACTCTCTGAGGCAGTCAGAGATGCTACCACTTAGTTATTTTAGCCCTAAACAGGTTCTACAACTAACCAATCAACATAACTGTTACAGCTCTATGGGAGGTCAGTCATGTGCTACAGCACTGTGTACCGCCGGTTTCCACCGCAAAGTTGCTCGTAACCCTTGCCGGCGGGTGCAAGTATCGTGAAATGTAGGTGTTGGGGTGTCTTCGAATGCCTCAGGTCGTCTTAAATTACTCTTCATTAACTGCCTAATAAACCATAAAACCACTAAACTGTAGAATTTACACTGAAAATATGCGGTGAATATTTTTTAAAATGAAATACTCATTGCTGGCGAGCTCACATCAGTAATGCGCGTCTCATTATTATCCTACGTTGTTGTTATAACAAAAAAGGGGTTGATTTAATTTGCATTTGCTTTATTTTTTAATTAAATTTCATATATTTGGAACAGCTTACAGGCATATTTTCATTATTTGTTTGCTCATTCATTTTTTCAACGAATGTCCTCGCAATTATTATTGAGGGTATTATTTTTTATTTTCGAATTTAATTTGGATAGATGTGTATCATTTTTGAAACGATTTAAGCATCATCACACTTGCTTTTATCAGTTTCTGATTAATTCTCCTATCAGTAAGCATTCTGCATTGTCTTTTCAGTAGCAGAATACTCACCAGCCATATGGCAGTTCTCTCCAATCGATAAACTCTTAAACCTCACCTATTTCACCAGTTGATAGTAAGCCTGGAAAACAGGAAGGTTGGGTTTGAGTCTAACAACGCTAGTCCATAAAAGCAACATCACTGTTATTCAAACTTAGGTGTTTGAAGACTCATAATCTACTCAGAATGCAATGAAAGAAGGTAATTACTAAGAGTTATTTTTCTTATTTTCCATCTTATTCCAAAATATGTCTGACTAACTTCTTTAAGTATATGTTTGCATCCTACAAAACTAACAATATATAGTTCTAAAAAAAGAAATTACATTTATCCAAAGTCTTTTGGTTGAACACTAGTGTAATGTGTCTAGTCCTCTGTTTGGTGCAGAGTGAGCTTAGTAGTAATATCTCTGATTGCAATACTGGTCGACGCGGGTTCGAATCTTAGAAGGGGCATGAGTTCCTTCAAGGTTGTAGATACGTCTTGCTGACTGGTAAGTGCCACCTAGCACAAAACATAGGTTCAAGGATTCCT